CCTCCTCTCCTGTACGGCCTGATTCTTTTCCTTTGATCCCATTTCCTTCCTCCTTTGGTGGACCTCACAGTTCCTACTGTTCTCAATAGAACATCCCGAGAAAGTAAGGCCAAGGCTGCACGTGCCAACTCTCCATCACACACAGACATCACCCTGGCGTCGGCAGCACCTGCCAGGCCTGGGGTTGTGTTCGGGCCTGTGGAGGGCACAAGATGGCAATGGTCCACGATACAGGTCAGGCCTGGGGGTTGTGTTGGGGCCCCATGGGAGGCGATCATGACGATGTTCAGAGCCTGGGTTGTTGTGTGGGGGCTGTGGAGGTGATGATGACGACCATCACATGATACAGTGCTGTTCTATCGCCTGGAATGACCTTTAGGAGGCTTTGAAAGATATTCAGCCCTCAAAGCAATCCACCAGCTTCTGAATATTTGGAACAATGGACACGACTTCAAGGTAAACAGCCCCTGTGTCCCCGGTTGCTTTAATCTGCAGGTGAGTCCAGCAGGTTGTCCAGCACAGGAAATGGAGGGGCCTCCCAGGTTTGCCTGAGCTGTGGGAGATCAAGTGGGAGCACGCCGCTCAGGCTGGCACAGACCAGCCTTGGGGCCTTACTTGGGGTGGTGGGACGCAGGACAAAGGCTGTTGGGCCAGAGAGGAGGGTGTCACAAGACAAGTGACCCCTGTGGTGGCTGCCCAGAGGCTCTGCCCTGGGCCCAGTGGATTCCAGGGACCAGGCTACAGGGAGGGCGAGAGCCACTGCCTGCAGCAACACAGCAGCCCCTCCACACATATCCCCGAGGATTCCTGCCAGCCACAGAGGGCCTTGAGCCACAGCTGGACTCGGGCCTCTCCAATGAAAGCCAATGTAGGTTTCATTCAAAGCCCACGGATTTGGGACTGGATGGGATTGGGTGAGGAGCAGAGGCCAAAACTGTGCTCAGTCAAGTGTCCCGCCCTGAGGACTCCAGGATGCCGGCCACACGCAGCAATCCCAGAGGAAGGACTCCCTGTGTCATCCCACCCAGGGAGCACCCTTAGAGCAGCAGCAGACGCTGAGGACAGGACGGGAAGGTGCCGTTGCAGGTCCCGAGAGTGTAGAGAAAGAGGGTGGGCTCCTTTCAGCTCCTGGCACACGTATGAAGGACTTTGTCATCAGGATCACGTAGCACCTGTGAGGGGCTGTGTCCCCCATGACACTCAACGTTACACCTGCATATTCATCTTGTCATCTCCATTCACAACAAAACGCTGCCTCATCAAACCCAGGGCTCTGGTGCTTGCTGTGGCAAAGGCAGGAATGATCTGGTCTTTGCAAAATGTAATCTTTAAACACCAGAGCAGGAAAGGATGGTGACAAACACAACTCGCACAAAGCGCAAGAGGACAAAACTCTTACGACTTTCTCATGAAGATACAAAAAATCCCAAGTCAGACTTCTACACCTATTTCCTTTCATATTTAGTCACTTCACTGATCCCACCCCAGGCTCCAAAACAAGTGTCACCCAATCCCCAAGAACCCTCCTCACTGGTCAACCCTGGAGTGTCGGTCCCTACCTGACCAGTCTATTTCCCCCTGGATGGATCCAGAGGTGGTGCCCATGAGCCCAAGTACAGAGACACAAACGTCGGCACTACTGCTCAGTCCACGGTGATTCTCCCTGGGCTCTGTGAACTCAGGGGCCGTTAGGAAGGCCCTGCTCACAGTTGGGAGCCTTCAGGTGAGACGGAGAACCCGAACAATCCCTTTCAACTGTTCACCGACACTGGCTCAGAGCATCTCTTACCTCCAGTCTGAGAACCCGAGATTCCAGCCTTGATGCACATGCACTGAGGCAGGTGAGTGCAGTGAACAGAATCTGGGCCAGACTCACAGCAGCTGCTTCCCAGGTGATTCAGGGAAAATGGAGATGCTCTCTTAAGAGTAGACATTTGGCAACTGGGAACTTATAGTATGGCTCTTGTGAGGAGGTTATGAATTTTTCATTTATTTAAACATGAATGGGCACATATGCCACGGAGGACCACACTGGAATGCACAGGTCTAAACCCAAAGGTGAGGGAGATGTGACTCTCCCCCCTGCTGATTCCTGGCAGAGTGGTTTGCTCTGATCTGATCATTCATGGATGGGTACTTCAGGGGCACAGGAACAAGCTCCAGGTGCCCTGTGAAGTGCAGGGATGCCACAACAAGAATAAAAACGCCTGGTCCAGCAGAGGAGGACTTGTAAACAGAAAGAAGCATCTTCTGCAGGAGAAAAGCTGAACCAAGGCAGCCAGAGTAGAGATGAGGGGACAGTTCAGTGACTTCAGGAGCCCCCCTATTCTCCTGTGACCTTGGATCAGAACCCACTCAGGTTTCTAGATTACCATGAGAAACAATAGATTGAAGAAGATGAGCAGGAAGCCTTTTCACACTGGTGCTGGATCTCAGCAAAGGGGTTGGAAGCACTGGAAAATTACTGGGGCCCAAGATGGGCTGCCTAGGGCTGAGCTTTGTGATGAGAAGGAATGAGGGGGACATAGTCCTTGCCCTCCCAGTGACCAGCCACGGCCAGGATTCCTCCACACATAAGTAAAACAAAACAGAGTTTGAGACTGATACTTCCAAGACTATCTCAGAGAAACAGGCGAAGTGATGTCTCATGGGTCACACGCGAGAGGTGCAAGGACCACCTGGACTCGGGAGCAGCCCCACTCCCTTTGCTGAGCTCACCTTGCACTGAAACAGGGTCCCTTCTCACCTTCCCTGCAACTAGTGTGGGGCAGCCATCCTGCCTGAAAGCTGACACTCCCTTAAGTCACGCAGGATTCTGGGCCAAATCACACTTGGCTAACAGCAACTACACGAGGACCAGCTGTCAGGCCACGCCCAGAAGCAGGTGAAAAGCAAGAGCTGATCTCCGTCCCAGCCAGAGAGACCAGGCCTGGGAACTACTCTGTGTCTGGCCTGACCCTGAAGTCCATCCCTGCCGATCATGTCCTCTCTGGGCCACATTGGCTATTTCGGGAACTCACTCCTGTTCTCTGCCTCTCATTAATTTCTGGTGGTGCCACTGCCATCGGCATACGGGAAATAGAGAAGACAAGAAACAACAAAGTAGCTTCTCTCTTCAGGCTCTCGGGAAGACGGGCAGACAGTGCTAACGCCAGCTATGAAGTCGGAGCTCGACCCGTTCTCCCTCAGCTGGAATATGAACATCCCGGCCACGCCCAGGTCATGATGAAGAACTGACTTCCTGATGTTGCACCTCGGCTTCCCCCCATGGCTCTGCTGCCCTCATGCCTTCCTTCTGCTCCTCCAAATCATGTTCCTTTTCAGGCCCAGGCCAAGGCTGTACCTGCTCTCTCTCTCACAGAGGCCACTGGGCAGCTGTCTGGGAATTCTTAGAACCTCAGCGTTGGTAACGCTGATTTGTGCCTTTGATCACACACAGCAGAAGGCCCCGAATACCACACACAAAAAAAACTGTATTCTAAAGATTAGAGATAACCAGGGGAATTGGGTTATGAGGAGATAGTTTCTGAGGTTAACGAGGGACATTTTAAAATCACACCAGCCTCATTTTTTTCAAATGTGGGTTAAGTATGGACACCTACAGAGCAATCAAATTCAACTCACATACAACGTATTTCCACCAAAGGCAGGCTCCCAAAAGAAACTCAGTCCAGAACTGGGTTAATCTTATTTTCATATGACCTTAAGCCAACCACCTTGACTTGTTTTTTGCAAAGGCCTTCAGGAGCAAACAAAAACCTTTGTCCACGGTGGGTTCAATGGGGACGTCCTGGAGCCTCTGCTGTCCCACAGCCACATTTGTCTCTCCCCACCTCGTAATGCATGAGTCACCCTCCATCCTCCTAGGAAGGCAAGTGCTCCCCCTGCCACTCACACCCTAGGGCAAGCCCTTTGGTTACCTTTTCATGATGCTGTGTTTCCTGAGCACAGAACACGGAAACCAGGAGGAGGCTGCATGATAGAGGCTGAGCCTCTACATGACCTTGACATTATGTATTTTGGACACTCAAGAGTCACACCACATGAATTCAAAAAGACACACAGCAACTGAATGTGCACAACCTCCCCCCATCCTCAGAGAACGCACTTGCTCCCAGGGACCGCAGAATGTGACCATCATGCTCTATGTGGAACAAGCATTTCTCCCATCACAGCCTAGGTCCTCATTCATGAGAGGAAGCTCAGCTCCGGCTGCCTGTCTACAGGAAGGCCAGCGAGGCAGTGGCACACTCCTCATCATCTGGGTGACTCATCAGCATGAGAGCGGCTCCGCAATACGTACCTTCCGGTGGAACTCCCGAGGATTTCTGTAATGACAGAAAATAAATTGCTATGAGCATCAGACCATGCTGTGTCCTGTGTGCACAGGACTTTTCTTCACTTAGTGACATTAGAAAACAAGATGAAAACCAGTGTTCAAAGGAACCCAAAAGAAGAACAGAAGAAATCGACTCATACTAAAGACACACATTTTTCTCAGAGGATGTTTCCTCTCAAGTCCATGTTGGCTGGCAAGTAAGTGATTTTGTTCCAAAGAGAGAACAAAATTGGTAAGCCTCACTGCCCCACAATGTGTGACTGATGCTGTCATTTTCTCCCACTGTCTTAAATCAAGCTTCATTGGGGACAGACTCTCACAATTCCCCCCAAGGTCATTGTGTAACTAATCTAAGATATATATTGTCAGATTCTCATATCTTAATTTAATCCAAATAAAACAAAGCTAAGAAAGCAACAGTTTTTTTCAGAGAAATGCAGGTGGCCTGACCTTCACATCCTCTGGGTCCTCCTCCTCTCCCTTGTCACTGGACCGCTCCTGTAGTAGATGCTCTGGAAGAATTAGGAGGATACAGAGTGACTGTCAGCACCTTGGTGGTGTTGCTCATGAACAATTCAGTAACATTACTTGAGGTGGGTGTGGGAGGAGGATAGCAGAACAGGAGAGAGGCAGGGAAGAAAGGGAATCAGGGCCTTTGGCTTTCTAGCTCCAGGCCACCTCCTAAACATGAAATAGCCAATTTTAAACAGGGCACACCAGGCAGTGCAAACTGTGCGTCCCTGGCAGCCTCTTAGGGCTCCTCCCTCCTAATCTGACCTGAGCTAATGTGCCCTCTTATTGATCCCTGCCAAAGTCATTTCCTCCTCAGAATCCACATGTGTTGCTGCTCTGCATATTATCCCTTTTAGAAGATTTTGTACTGAATAAGAAGAAAGCTTTCATTAAAGAGATTTAATTCTAGCCAGAAGATTTCATTAACTAACTGTTTGTGATGAGGCAATTAAACCAAGATTTGAAAATACTCAATTATCCTACCATTTCACGATGACCCCTACTTAGCATGTGATATTTGTCCTTCCACTCTTCTTTTTCAACATCATGTGTGTGCACCATGGAGTGCACTGCTCCTCATGCTCACACTGACTCCAGCACGGGGACAGCCTGACATGGGGAGCAGCGATGGGGGCGGGGAGTGGGCACTGACCCTCTCCAACCCAGCTCTGCAGGAGATTCCAGCAGGGAAAGTGGGTGCCAGGCTAACACCCAGGTTGATCCTTGAGATTTTATTGGATGCTATATCTTGGGATTGGGTTGCACTGAATTTCTAAGACTTGCGGTGATTATCTCATTAAATACAATAGAATATCCCACTGATTATTGTCTGTGTTTGAACAGGAGCTGAGGGATGATCTCACTGCTGTAGATCAAAAGCCTGTGGACTCTGTGTGTTTTACATTAATGATCACACTGAAGCCCACTGTACAATGTACCTGCTCAAACCAACCCTGGGTGAGCTGAGCATTGACACCATCCAGTCATGATAGTGTTTGGGATCTGATTAGGTTTTTGTTCTCCCACATGCACACACAAGTGCTGGAATAACTTGGCCTAGCAAGAAATTATACTAGGGCTTTGTGATAAATTCAGTGTAGTGGCTCATGGCATTAACCTTCCACTCATTCCCGAGTTCACATGTGCCTCTTCCATTTAAAAGACCAAGAGCTTGGGAAATTCGTCTCTGCACCATGTCCATCTGAGGACTGGGGATAGTGAACTTATGTTCAGGTACAGCTGTGCTGGAGGATGAATGGGTTGATGTATGTAAACTGTGCAGTGGTGATGGAAATTTTCTTGAACATTGATCCTTGTGTTGTGCTTTGAACATGGGAGTATGTTTTCTGGGGAAATGCACACACACTCCCAAAGACATCCACAATCATTCCATATAGACTCTCTCCTTTTTCCTTCCCACCCTTGTTGTCCCCCCCCCCTTTCCTGGCCCTTTTTGTTTCCGGGGTTGCCGTTCGCTTGTTTCGGTTTTTTTCTTGGCTTCTTGTTTTTTTTTATACCAAACTTTCCAAATCTAATTTCTGGCAGAAAGCTCAAACCAGAGTGGCTCTTGAGCAAAAGCAGGCAAAACAGTGTCATCTTTGCAACACTAAGATTTTGAACGTAAACAAAGAGATGATCCCAGCTACGTACCGTTCGCCAGTGTGGCTGGGTCCACCTGCATCTAGAGAAAAACAAAACACTATGAGGGTCAGACCAGGCTGTGTCCTGTGTGCACAGGCCTTTTCTTTACTTGTTGATATTAAAAAAACAGATGGTAAATAGTGGTTGAGACAATGGCCCTGATATCTAGAAGACATTCGTGGAAAGGCACGAGATTTTTGTGCAAGATTTTCAATTGTTTTTATTTGACAATTCCAAATACTTCTTAAAAAGGCATTTCTCTTGAGGAAAATGCCTGCTGACACACAGCTTGTAAATGTGGATGCCATCTGAAACCATTTTTTAGTGGATAATGAACTCTGACATTTGCCCACCAAGAAATTCTTGTCAGTCACCTATCGCGTACGTGGTAAGATGTGTACATCTTAGTTCAATTGAAACAGAGAGAAACCGAGAGAAATTCAATTTCCATTTCAGAGGAAATAAGATGACTTTACCATGTGAACCCCTGTGGCTTCCTCCAAGGATGTCTGCTTGGGCACAGCCTCCTCCAGTTCTTCCAGGTCACCTAGGAAACAGAGTCACTATAAGCACATGAGCTCCACTGAGTGAATCCCTCAGGTGATCTTGGAGCTGTGGACACGGGGCTGGCGTGTGTGGAAAGGTGTGTTCACAGCACAGACTCAGCTGCTGCCGGTCCCTCCTCCATGGTGGTGAGGGAAGACAAATGGTGAAGGAAGGCATCGGGAAGGCCACAGAAGACAGCTAAGGCAACCTCTTCAACATGAAATAATCCATCTCAAACAGGGCACACCACATAGTGTTTCCCTGTAGCAACTCAGGGCTCCTCCTTCTTAATCTGACCTAACTTGTCCTCCCTTCTTTATCCCCTTGAGGTCATTTCCTCCCCAGGAGCCACATGTACTGCTGCTGTGCTTTTGTTCCTCCTAGAACTTTTTTGTTTTTCTTTTTTTTGCGATGGAGTTTCACTCTTGTTGCCCAGGCTGGAGTGCAATGGCGCGATCTCGGCCTACCACAACCTCCGCCTCCTGGGTTCAAGTGATTCTGCTGCCTCAGTCTCTTGAATAGCTGGGATTACAGAAATGCACACCCATTCCTGGATAATTTTGCAATTTTAGGAGAGACGGGTTTCCTCCATGTTGGTCAGTCTAGTCTCAGACTGTTTGTTTATACCAAACTGCCTACAACCTCATTTCTGTTAGGAAGCTCCAGAGAAATTCTCCAGCAAATGCAGGGTAAAAAGTGCCACCTTTCTGAAAAACTAAGATATTTCCTTAGCAAAAAACTAATCCCTGAGGTGTGGGGGGCAAGATGAGGGAGAGCATTAGTATAAAGACCTAATGCACACGGGGCTAAAAACCTAGATGAGGGGTTGATAGGTGCAGCAACCCACCATGACACATTTATACCTATGTTACAAACCTGCACGTTCTACACATGCATCCCAGAATTTCAAGCAAATTAAAATCAATAAAAAAAAAAAACCCAAAACACATACCTTCTTCCTCAAAGTGTACTCTTTTCTGCAATTAAAGAAAAGAAAAACATGATGAGACTCAGATCACACTGTGTCCTCTGTGCACAGGTCTTTTCTGCATTGTTGACATGAGAAAACCCAATGGAAATAGTGAAAATAGTCAACACGAGGGTCCCCAAATAAAGCCTAGAGGACACGTGGAAAGGCACAAGTTTTTTTGGGCATGATTTTTGAGTTTATTTTCACTGCCTGTTCATCACTATTTTCAAGAAGAAAGCACTTTGCCTATGGGAAATGTTTACCGTCATAGAGTTTTTAAGTGAACCTGCCATCTATAAATGCCATCTTGAATTCATTCTTGCTGGTAATAAACTTACTTTACAGCTGCCCACCAAGACATTCTGTAAGTCATCTATAATGTACATGGTAAGATTACCATCTCTTATCTCAATTTACATAGAAACGAAGAGAAATAAAATTCCCACCTCAGACAAACCAAAAACACTTTACCTTCAATGAGTAAGGAAACCTCTCAGATGGTACCTTGAGCAGACGCTCGCACAACAAGCCTTCGTCGCTCTCTAGGAAACACAGAGTCGTTGTCAGCACACTGGATGCGCTGAAGGAATCCATCAGGCAGACTCGGGCGCTAAAAACACGGGGCTGGCCCATGTAGACAAGGGGGGTTAACTGCAAAAACGGACCTCCTGCCAGAACATCCTCCTCGGTGATGAAGAAAGGTCAGTGAGACCATCACGGAAGCCATGGAAGACAGAGCCTTGGCAGCACACACAGTCACTGCCGATGCCGTGACAGTGTCTCATCCTTCCCCTATGCATTTTGAGGCCTGGGAAATTTCCACTTTTCTGGTGAAATGTGACAATGCTATTTATCTTTCCTGGGTCTACATATGCTTCTCTTGCATTTTCCATCCATTTTGTTGAACTTCTGACATAATTTTCGTAAAACATACAAAATGTATTATTGTAATCATTCAGTGCACACTTCAGGAGAAGACACGAGCAGAACCGCAGGAGCAGAGAAGAGAAAACCTCACTGTTTGAGGAGCCCACGCTCTTCTCCCCTGACCCTGGATTACAACCCACGCAGGCACCTGGGTAAGTGTGGGAACCCACAGACTATAGAAAATGAGCAGAAAGCCTTTGCACATTTGTACTAGATCTCAGAACAGGAATGCAGGCATCAGAACATCATGGGGCCCAACATGGACTGCCCAGGGCTGAGCTCTGGGCTGAGAAAGAATGAGGAGGACACAGTCCCTGCCCTCCTGGTGACCAGCCATGGCCAGGATTCCTCCACCTATGAGTAGGAGACTACAGACTTTGGGACTGATGATTGCAAATCTGTCCCAGAGAAACAGAGAAACTGATCTCCTATGGGTCACACAGGAAAGCTGCAAGGACCACCTCACTCCAGAGCAGCCCCTCTCCCTTTGCTGAGCTCAGCTGCCTTAGAGCAGGGTCCCCTCCTCACCTCCTGTGACACTAGCATTGGGCAGCTGCCCTCTCTGGGAGCTGAGGCTCCCTCCAGTAAAACGGAACTCTGGGCCAGGCCACTCTGGGCCAATAGCAGCTACACAAAGACCAGCTGTCCGGCGACTCCCAGAAGCTGATTGTTCCAGCCACAGGGAGATCAAGCGTGGCAACTACTCCGTGTCTGACCTGACCCTCCAGTCCGTCCCTGCTGATCATGTCCTCTCTGGGCTAAGTTGAACATTACAGGAACTCACTCCTGTTCTCTGTCTCTCACTAATTCCTGGTGGTGCCTTTGCCATCAATACACAGGGAGATGGAGAAGACAACAAACAAGAAAGTAGTACCTCTGTCCAGGGTTTTAGGAAGATGGGCAATGTTCAGGCCAGCCACGAAGTCAGAGCTCAACTCCTCCTTCAGATGTGGCGTGAACGTTCGGCCCGTGCCCAGGTGATGATGTGGAACTGACTCTGCTGATGCTGCACCTCGGCTTCCCCATGGCTCTGCTGCCCTCATGCCTTCCTTCTGCTCCTCCAAATCATGTTCCTCTGCAGGCCCAGGCCAAGGCTGTACCTGCTCTCTCTCTCATAGAGCCCACTGGGCAGCTGTCTGTGAATTCTTAGAACCTCAACGTGGGTAACACTGATTTGTACCTTTAATCAGTCAGCAGAAAGCCCCCTGAGTAGCCACAAAAAACTATATTCAAGACATTGAAGATGACTAGGGGAATTGGGTTATGAGGACACAGTTTCTGAGGTTAGTGAGGGACATTTTAAAATCACAACAGCCTGATTATTTTAAAATGTGGGATAAGTATTGATACCTACAGAGCAATCAAATTTGATTTATACACAGTAAGTTTCCACCAAATGCATACTCCAAGAAAAAACTCAGGCTATAATATGGTTCCATTTATATTCCGATTCACCAAAACCAGCTGCATCCACTTGTTTTTTTTCAAAAGCCTTCAGGAGCACACAACCAACCTTTGTCAACAGTCAGTTCAATGGGGACATCATGGAGCCTCTGCGGTACCACAGCTGAGTTTGTTTTTCCCCATCTGTAATGCATGAGCCACCCTCCATCCTGCTAGGAAGGCAAGTGCTCATCCTGCCTCTCAGATCCTAGGGCAAACCTCTTGGTTCTCTTTTCTTGTTGCTGTTTCTGAGCCGAGGACACAGAAACCATGACTAGGCTGAGGGATACAAGGCTGAAATTCTACATGACCCTGGCATTATCTATTCTGAACCACGTTATCTGATGGTCAATATGAGGCCTCAATGGAGAACATTGGGGTGATTTCACCCCAACCCCACCTGCAGCCTCCTCTCTTCTCAGTTTCCCAGCAGAACTGGCTGTAGCACGAGGCTGCACCAGGGTGTAAATGCACAGGAAGGAGCCCCCCACTCTCCCTGCTCAAGATGGGTCGTGGAGGGTCACTTCTGAGGGCTTTGGTAGAACAGGCTTGTAAAGGAGGGAAGGGGCTAGAGTGAGGTGTCATGACCTCTCCAAAGGCAGGAGGAAATAGAAAGGCCTGTGAAGAGGTGAGGTTTATTAGAAAATAAAGTATAGCAGGGAATTCTGAAGGAAAAAATAAAATGAGCAGAGATCCTGACACAGTTCTGTTCTATGGGTGCCCAGTGAGAATTTCCTGGGTGTGGACAGGATTTCTTTTAGGTTAATTAAAGTGTCCTGTGCAAGAAATAAACTGCACACACTGGAAGCTTACAAGCTGATTTTTTCATGTGCCTGTAATAGGACCACAACGGTGACGGAAATCTCTGTTGAGAATGTGGACACTAGTAAATCTGGGGATATGTGGTACGAAAACCCAAACACACACACCCAGACACACTGACCGTGGCACCGCATGAATTCACAAAAGACATGAGCCGGCCCCGTGCACAGGATCCCACCCCACCTTCAGGGATTGCAGTTGCTTCCAGGGGCTGCAGAATGTGGCCACTGTTTCTTATCTAGAAAAATCATTTCTCCCATCACAGCCTAGGTCCTCATTCATGAGAGGAAGCTCAGCTCCGGCTGCCTGTCTACGGGAAGGCCAGCGAGGCAGTGGCACATTCCTCATCATCTGGGTGACTCATCAGCATGAGAGGGGCTCCGCAATACATACCCTCCGGTGGAACTCCCAATGATTTCTGTAATGACAGAAAGTAAATTGCTATGAGCATCAGACTATGCTGTGTCCTGTGAGCACAGGACTTTTCCTCACTTAGTGACATTAGAAAACAAGATGAAAACCAGTGTTCAAAGGAACCCAAAAGAGAAACAGAAGAAATCAACTCATACTAAAGACACAAATTTTTCTCAGAGTGTGTTTCCTCTCAAGTCCATGATGGCTGGCAAGTAACTGACTTTGTTCCAAAGAGAGAACAAAATTGGTAAGGCAAAGGCTCACTGCCCCACAATGTGTGACTGATGCTGTCATTTTCTCCCAGTCTTCAATCAAGCCTCAGTGGGGACAGACTCTCACAATTCTCCCCAAGGACATTCTGTCACTAATCTAAGATATACATGGTCAGATTCTCATATCTTAATTTAATCCAAATAAGATAAAGCTAAGAAAGCAACAGTTTTTCTCAGAGAAATCCAGGTGGCCTGACCTTCACATCCTCTGGGTCCTCCCCGTCTCGGTTGTCACTGGACGGCTCCTGATGTACATCTGTCGTCAGAACTAGGAGGATACAGAGTGACCGTCAGCACC